AGTTGAGAATCTTTGGCTGAAATGTCTCTGTTATCATGACCAATCGCGGACATCGCTGTTTCGTGCTTTTAAGCACTCATCAGTATGGTATACGTCTAGTATTGGATACAGATTTCTCACCTGGTTTTTTAAAACACTATAGTCAGTTTGTCTCCGAGACTAGATCTGCACCGTTAATAAAAATAAAGTTCAATCCGGAGAGCGAGCAGGCCCATCTATTCGGAAACTCATTATTTAGATGTTCATGAACTTCTCGGCTAAAATGTGGTGATGGATCCCCATCATGTACGAACCACATATTCTGCCTCACATTTAGAGGAACATCTAATAATTGTGGCAGATTGTATCAAAGAAAATCTAAACAAATTTCACCGGTCAGTCGAAGTGGAAAACAATAGGGTCCAATAAGCATGCCATTTATCACGCCAGCCCAAACATTTAATGAAAATATATGTTGAAAATGAGTTTTTTTTTACAGCATGTTCATTTTCTACTGCCCAAACATGATTGTTGTTGAAATTTTGCAAAAAAACTCAAAGATTTTACACGACAGTGGTCGAGAATATCAAAAAATCTGTGTAATAGCATTCTTATTTTTTTAAATCTTTAATCCTTTACTATTAATTTCATTATGCAACTTTTATATAGGTGATTTCTGGTATGGCAACTCCTTTTGACGAGTCCTAAATGCAGTGAAAATAAATGACTCGACTTTGAAAACTCTCTGTATATTCTTATGCAGGTGTACAGAGTTGACAATTCAAAGAGCATCAGTGTGTGTTTTGGAATACTAAGTGTGTGATGTTCTTACGTCTAAATATCGCTCTGCAGGATTTTCTTTTATAGTTGTTGAATATCAATCTGATTATTCTCTTCTGTTGAACAAATGCTGTCGAAAATGAACTTGATTTACCCCAAATTATGATGTTCCTTAACAGTTGTGACTGGACGAAAGAATAATACACCTCTAGCAAATCTTTAGAATTGCAAAATACGATTGGTCCATCGTTTCAGACCCACTATCAGTGTGTTGTTGCCAATTGAGTTTTGCATCTATTTCTGTTCCCATGAACTTCGTAGTTTCATATGTCTCATGATTTCATAGAAATTCTAGGGTCACGTTTTCTACAAGAGTTAGACTTTGGAGGACTGTTGCACTTGTGAGCAACAGCTAATCTTTATGATGCATTTGATACACATTATCATCGGTTGAGGATTTTTTTTCTTAAACGGATAATATGGGTAATGTATGAATTGACAAGGTCATGTAGCTATAGAAGTTGCAAATTATATCTAAAAGTTTGATAAGAGCTACATTAATATCCGCCAAATGTAGTCGATCGACACCGTTTAATGCTTTTGCAACGTCACTAGCAATCAACGTAGGTTATATTAAAACACATTAAAGGGATTGAATTGTTATCAAATCAAATATGGTCGGATGAAATGTGTAATTATTGCACAGGATTTTGCCAAAAGGCAACTTGATTTTCTAATAGATTTAATATCCATGCCCATCAGCAATGTGCACATTATGTTTGACATTTCATCATATCGCATTTTCAATATAATGACATCTGCTTTGAAAGATGATGTCCCACGAAATATCCTTTTGATGTTAAATTTGAATTTTGGTGCTTACACAGTGTCACCAATTTTGTCTACTGATTTTAATTCTCAGAGTGAGTACTCGTCTTTTCGCAATTTTCTGAATCACTAAAATTTTCAAGTACTTGACAGAGACTTGAAAACTACTTGATATCAGATTGACTTGAGCTTGACTTGATTTCAAGTCCAATGGCTAGAAAATCAAGTCAATTAGTGAATCCCTACTAGCGAGGCCTTCTGAATTTTCAGTGTATGGGCCAAAGAAGTTTTGGGCACTTTCATTCTCTTCGGTAAGTTAATATTTCACTATAACTAGGATTCCCATAATATGTATTCTGTGACAAAACAAAAACCGCGAAACTTACTCAGACTCACTTGAAGAGCTATCGTCATTAATGTTTATGATGATGGATTCAAAATCTCTCTCAATTATGTTGTCCAGCTCCCACATTGCTACCTCCACTTTCTCCTGAACATGCTGCACACATTTTTGTCATCTTTCTGGTGTGACCCTCTGTATAGCAATTCTGAACAGCTCTTGCATGTCAGGAAATTTAAATGTTGTATTGTGTGCAGCAACAAAATTCTTAACATCTGCCCATATGAGCTCAATGGGGTTGAGCTCGCAGTGGTAAGGCGGCAAACGGAGTACTGTTTTGTGGTGTGCGTTGGCCATTTCATCTATGACATATTTATCATGTCTTGGTCTGTGTTGTTTCACAGTATCTAATAGTTGTAATTTCAGTAAGGAAGGGTCGAAAGTTATATTTTTGGAACAGAGCCAGCTCTGAATGTCTGATTTCCTAGAAGCTGAAGTTGGGATTTTTTCTATTTTGCGAGAATGATAGGGAGCATTATCCAAAACAACCACAGAATTGTCTTCGAGACGTGGTAAAATGCCTGAAAACCACTTCTCGAATGCTTCCCCATTCATCTCTTCATGGTAGTCAGTGTTTTTTTTTTTTGAGTTAAAAGACCATAAGCCGTCATCCTCGAAGCCATCTACACCCCCAATGTGGCACATAATGAGCCTTTTTCCTTTGCCTAGAAAGATAAAATCCGCTAAGTACACATGCACGTCTTGTAGGTACGAAGATATTGTGCGCAAAAATTGATACCGTGAACTACTTCGATCTATTTACCTGCTGGATTTTTCAATCCGGTCGACAGTCCATCTAGAAATGCCCTTCTGGATGAAGTCACAGTTTTGTCAACCCATACCTTCGGAGTAGTGTGCCCAGCGTTAATCCAGGTTTCGTCCAGGTAATAGATCTTCCTGTGCTGATCCCTGAATGATTTAATTTTGGTCAGGTACTCTCTCCTCCACAGAAAAATTTCTTCTCTATCCATAAGTAAGCTGTTACGACCTCGTTTCTTCCATTCGAAATTAAGATGCTTCAAAAGTTTATGAATAGTCGAACGTTTGAAATTTGGTAACATAGCATCCTCGTTAACCTAACGTAGTACTTTATCAACTGCCGGTATTTCGTTTCTGAAGAATAACTCGTGCACTTTCCTCCGAATCGCATGCTTGTCAGCGTCATCCAACGATCTTCTGATACTTTTGCGATTTTTACCCAACATTGGCTTGGAAAAGGCATGGTTTTTCTTATGTTCGTTCAAAACATTGTACACTGTCGCTTGGCATACCCCAATTTTATCTGCCACTTTCAGAGCTATTTTCGGGTTAGTTGATGTTTCGTCTTCCTTCCGCTCTATCTTGAATGTATTCAATATGACGTCTTTCATGTCTACGCTAAGATGTCTTTTTTTTATCGCTTTCTAGGAGGGCTAAGGGAGTAGCCTACAGCCTCGTCAGCATTATCTGTACTGTACCTGTTCAGGATTGGTTCAAAACAAATAATAATGAGGAATAACAATAACAAACAGAAACTTAACAAATTACTCAAACACACTTAACAACAACAACAGCAACAACCAAGCAAGGTCAATACAAAAACACGAGCACGCAGTGATACACGCGACGGTCGGTGGCCTGAATGCAACTCTGCCTGCCCTGCCCCTGCCCCGCGCATTATCCCGCCAGGCGACCGCTTGAAATGTAATGGCGAATTGACCAATAAGAGGCGTTGCCCCACCTGTTACCGAGAGATCACGCGCTAACTGTTATTATTTACATTTCATCTTGAATTTGGATTCAGTATAGTACCATGAATGTTCACTGACCGAGTGTGTTCTTGTGGAATATCTAGAAACGCTCTGTATCTGAGCAACGGCAAGACGCTGGGCAGATCTTGGTAAGAGTGTGTCCGAAGGGATGTCAAACATTTGAACTAAATGATAGTTAAGAAATAAAACCCGCCGAATTTACGAATATGTTGTTAGTAATAAATATTTTCTTTTCATTAAGCTTGTATTTTTTTTCTTAAATCAAAAAGTGCTCTTTCCCACTGGACACCCTAGGTATCATGAATGTTTACTGACCGAGTGTGTCTTGTGGAATATCTAGCAACGCCCTGTATCTGAGCAATGATAAGATGCTGGGCAGATCTTGGTTTTCTCGTTCAATTAAGCTGATTGACTTACTCTTTCCGAAAAACTTCATTTAGCTTGATTGTGCGTATAATATTAAATTTTGTGGTCGAATAAAAGAGGAAAAAACCGGCAAGAGAGGAAAAGATTTCGAATTCAATTCACGTTAATGCCGGAATAAAATAAATTTACGAAGGTAAAGAAAGTGAAAAGGTTTCCACGTTTTTCCATTGAAGTTGAGCAACAATGCATTTCTCAGTGTGTGTAAAACACGTATGGGGTATGCTGCTTGCTGCCATGGCTGCGAGGGGAAATCGAAAAGTCGGTCACTCACCCTGCTGCCGAGCTCTTTGCATGAAATTTTTTACATTCAGATCCGATCACGTGTAAAAACATTACTGGGCTCAACTCCCCTCACACTTCAACAGAGGCGTGCACAACAGCTTGCAGTGCAGATTTAAGAGAGTGAAATTTTGTTATACAGTATGTTACGAGTAACACTAAAATGCAAAAAATGGCGTCAAGCAGCTTGACTGTGCTTTCTAGGCAATTCTGGACAAATAGAACAGTATTGATGTTATTGGTGATTTAAAACAATTGAAGGGCTTATTGTAATAACGCGATAAGTCACAAAAGCATAATAAGGAGTTATTTGACTTTTAAGTTTTGGAAAAATGTGAAAAATCAACGTTTATCATAATTAAACTTGAATAATTTTTTTTGAGGCTTTTAAATCCGTATCTGTTGAATTTGTTGAGGAAGAGTGAAAAAAAGACAACTGATATCCCAAAAAAAAATTTTTTACAAAAACAATGTGGCTTGTCATATTATTGCCTATAAAAAAAATAGAGTAATATTTTTATAAGGAAATGAGGATTAAACTCTACCGCACTTTTCTGCTATACGATTTCAACATCTTCTTCATCACTTTCTCTGGAGGTTAGTCCATTGAAGAAGGGTAGATGTATTGGGGGTATATATGGAAAAAGAGATTGTACATTTTTAAGTTTCTTCTTTGAAATTTTTATAGGTTCCATGTACTTATTTTTCAGCTGACATAAGGGTGTATTCACAGGCCTACCCTTTTTTGTAATATTCACTTCGTTATACTCACCGTTTACAGAGTGCTTAACAAAAAAAGATTTTGTATTTTCTGTTTTAAAATGGAAGGTATATACACCAGAGAAGTCTAAATTTTCCTTGTTACTCATGCGAGTACTCTTTTGAACATTGGCCAACAATAGTTCAAATTTGAGGAAATCTTCTTGCTGCATAACTGTGACCTTGAAAGGATTCTTGTTGTTAGCATCTTTGATGATTTTGTGCCAACCTTCTGGGGAATACACTTCAGGAGCATATTTTCTATGCCGTTTTTCAATCAACGCGAAGTCCCGGTCCGACGGCAAGTGGGTATGTCCAGTAACAAGAAAATGATGTGTTATTGTTTTAAACCATTTCTCTTTAACTAACTGCAACCAAAATGCCATAAGTTGCCAATTTTTGTTTTGACCAGGACAGTTATCCGTGAATACAACAAGGTGATCTACATCCTTTTTATCTTTAAGAAATTTAAAAAGTACAGAAGCAACTTCATCCGCTCCACGTTTGGCTTGATTTTCTGTCCACAAAAACATGTGACCCTGTTCAGCAGTACAATCGTGTACTCCAAGGTTATAGAGCCAAACTTTTCTGCAATAAAATGCTGGGCCTGTTGTAAGCTTGGGTATAGGCATTGCCTGCTGTAAGTCAAAACTGATAACACATACGTTTGTTGTACTTTTTGATCGGTCTGTCTCTAATTTCAGCAAATTTCGCATTGCTTTAGCTCTATTTTGGTGTAAAGTCAAGGAGGTAGTTAGCCTTTGTTCCTCTTTGTCATCGTTGTTTGATTTGACAATATCAAGTTTGATCTTTGACTCGTCACATATTTTACATGTGTCAGACTTGGGCAGCTTGAAACCGATATTGTATTCAGTGCAAAATATTTTACGGTAAGCACTTTGTTTCACTGGAATAATGTTTTGTTGTTGACATCACGGAACATAATAATCCTTATGCAAGCTTGCTATGGACATATCGCAGTTAAGATACATTTTGTTGATGTTATTTGCTCTGCTATAGTGGCTCTGATATTTTGGTATAGCATCTATATGATTTCTGACAGATTGTTTTTGGTCAGCGCTTAGTGCATTTGGTCTATTTTTATGTTTACCACGTCCGTCTTTTATAGGGACAACAGCTCCGGTTGTCTTCATTTTGACAATATGGTCGATTCTGCCTCGACAATTTTGCAGTCCATGGACACTCATAAATTCGACCTTACATACCCTGACATCCCTACCATCAACATTAACAATATATTGAGCTGTAAACTGTCGACTAGATTCTTGACGTTTTTGTTTTTTCTTGTAAGATCTTTTCTTTTTTAGAACTCGAATAGCACCAAAAAGGTAACTGTTCTGAAGATCATAGGAACCTAGATCCCAGAATTTTGAGAAGATATTTTCATGGCTATTACTGAGCTTGTCTCGGCAGTTCTTCTGGCATCTACATGGTGAACCCAATTCTCGAGGTTTAACAAGTTTCTTGCTCTTTACTGTTGAATACTCTTGTCCTAAATTGCGTCTTCTCTTCCTTTTCACCTGTTCATAGTTCTCGTCCCTTCTTTGTCTCCAACGAGTTTGCGGAGTTTTTTCGGGTGTAGTTTCAGTTATTCTTGATAATTTAGTAGGTACAGGTGAGTCGCCTTCCTGAAATTAAATATTCTTAATAGCAACAACATGATAAGCCACGTTCAAATTCGCGATAGTCTTGTTTTGGTAAAACATGATAAGCCACAAAAACAAAAATAATACATACCTCACTTGTATCTGAACTTTCGTCATCATTTGATGGTACGAAATTCTTATCAACCACACTATCATCACTTGATTCATAAAATTCACTGCTTGAACTGCAAATATCGCTTGAAATAGGATTATTATCGAGAGGTGCATACGAACCGGTCGCCATTTTGACGTGGCTTATCACGTTTTAACGTGAAGATTGTAGAGAGCCGCCTAATAGTAATAACTTGATTCAAGGCATAGTGGCTCCATCTATCGGACAATCGTTACAACTTTTCTACTGTGGCTTATCATATTCATGCTTAACTAAATTGAGGAATAAAACAGATTTTTGTCGTTGTGTGGCTTATCATGTTATTACAATAAGCCCTTCAATTGAAAGTATGAACTTTGTGTATGCACCATGTCAATTTCATACTTTCTACTTATATAATAATAAAACGCCTTTGACTGAAGTTAAAGATGCAAGATGTATAACTGCCTATCCCTACAACCCCCAATCTCCAATTTTTAACCCCCACAACTATTTTTATAAAAGTAATCAGGAGCGTTTGAAACATCAAAGTCCCATGTTTTTCGTGTATTATGTACATGCGACCATTTAACATCCAAAATATCAGTTTTTTGCGATTACACTACTTAATCGCCAGTGGCGTAGGAATTAAAAGGATGCTTTTGGATCAAGAGTAACTTACTTGAATTGGACAAATCGTGATATTGATATGTTCTCAAAACATAGTTCGTTGAACTGAGATCTTCATTTCCTGAAATTCAAAAGTCCAATGAGTTTCATTTGAACGAGCATGTCTATTAACAGAGGAAATTGCATTTCATAGATTGTACTAGGAACATGGGCATGTTAGTACAAGATTAAATAATAATAAGGAACTTCCTTGAATTCAAAGGGTAATACAAGGAAACCCGTGTATTAATTGGCATAATCGATGACGTCGGGAGGATTAAAGGACATAATGTGGTAAAATTACCTTCCCAAGTTCATTTATTTATTTATAGCTTTTATTGTCCAACAGATAATATTCCATTTATAGGCCAAAATCTTAAATTATAAATATTACAAAAGCCTAACTTATAAAACTATCTAAGGCGCTCCCGCAGAACACATTTCAGCTCCGAAATAGGACATAAGAATATGTCACAAAACTTACAAATACTATTATAATTCAAACACATAACCCTTTCAGGTGATTTCAAAATCAAATTTGTGTTAGCACGACTGTAAAAGAAAGTAACATTACATCTTGAAACGGATCTTGGCGTTAAAAACTGTAGTTGTGATGTGTTGACAATTCCGAAGAAACTATAGTTCCATGCAAGAGTTTAAACAAAAAAATAACAGAACTGTGCTTCCTTCTCACATTCAAAGACGTCATTTTAAATCTGTCTAACGCACTTTGCTAGTCCGACCCACGTTGAGTGTAGACTCTATCGCACTTAAAAGCTAGATATTTAAGAAACTTTTTTTGAACATTATCTATCCTATTTATATAACAGTTATACATAGTAGGGATTCCATATTAGAGATGCATCCTCTAACTTGGATCTTATATAATAAGCTTAATACAAGGTTTTTAGTGCTGTCAAATCATTGATTAGCTCACAGTTTCTGATGAGAAAACCTAAGGCCCTGTTTGCATTATTCACAATATTATCTATATGACAGTCAAAACTAAGCCTAGTGTCAAACATAACACCCAAATCACGAACAGTATCAACTCGAGTGACCTCAATTCCCCCAATACTGTATGCATATTTAATTTTAAGTAGCTTTCGGAATAAAGTAACTACCTTGCATTTAGCAATAGTCAAGTGTAACCTGGTTAGCATACATCAATCTTCCAAACGGCAAAGCAATCAGCATCAGCAAATAACAGTTTACCATAATCAATATAATCACATACATCATTCACAAAGATCAAAAATAATATGGGGCCCAGGTTAGAACCTTGTGGCACTCCAGATGACGAATTGAATCGAAACGATTCTAAACCATTGTAAGAAACGTACAACTGTCGCTTAGACAAGTAAGTCATTACTAACGATATTGATTTGTCAGTCAAACCAAATGAACCCAGCTTAGGAATGCGCACCCCATGATCAACCTTATGGAAGGCTTTAGAAAAGTCAGTGCAAACTGCATCCACTGCCAAATTGGTGACAGTTGACTTACCACACATGAACCCATGCTGGAACTCGGATATTAATTTGACTACAGGTGGAAAGGTAGATGCGGTTGTAAAGAATTATTTCAAATAACTTAGCGAAATTATTCAATATTGAGATCGATCTATAGTTCTCAATTGTATCACGGTCACCCGCTTTGTAAATAGGATAAACCTTGGTTTCCTTCCATTTATCTGGGAATTTAGCTGTAGATAATATGAGATTAAAAAGAATAACCAGAGCATCTACTATACCAAGCGCACAATCCTTGACCAGGAAAGAGGGGAGCTTATCTGCCCCTGAGCTCATCTTGTACTTCAGTTTTTTTGCTGCATCACATATTTTATTTTCAATTATACTCTCCTGAATTAAGTTGACAATACGTTGGATGTTAGGAGATAGGTTTTCACCGCAATAGGTGTTCAGATGGCAAGTAAACTGTCTTAAAAATTTCAGCGAAAGCATTTACAATTGATTGAGGATCACCGAAATCATTATTCAGATGAGTCATATGACATGGAATCCGTGATGTTTTGTTCTTTTGATATATATATATATATATATATCGTGACGTGGTCATTGTCGTCTAGACCAGTTAGGTGAAAAATTAATTAATTTCAAAAATGAAAGACAAAGTCCCGCTGCTTGGCTTAACCAACACAGTCTACTCCTTCAATTGCAACAACTGCAACCTAATATACATAGGTCAGACCTCCAGATCTCTTAAAGGAAGGATTACATCACACAAAAGTGATGCTAGGCTTCATCCTGAAAGATGCGCTCTAGCATCTCATGTTAACACAACAGGGCATTCTATGAATTACACAAGTATCAAAGTTCTTGATAAAGAAAAACACCTTTCCAAACGTTTATTCCTGGAAATGTCCCACATTTTCATGAATAACAACTGTATCAACAAAAAGACAGATGTTAAACAACTGAGTGTCATTTACTCATATTTGCTAAACTGCGAAAAATTGGAGAACTTACATATCTCCCCAAATTTCAACTCTTCACAACCATAATTAGAATCTGTGTTTTGGCCGATTCCACCAGTAAATTTCATTCCACTCAAAATATAATAATTCTCTCCTCACGATTTATTAATAATTGTTAATTTAAATTCCCATTAATAATAATATAGTTTATTCAACTGCCTCTGGTCGGTTTAACAAATTCTAACATAAAATTCTGAAAATCTCATCATCTGAAGTGATTTGGCAACGTTTGGCACACGCCCACAATTCGTTCCATCTTTCAACACTGACATTGACATCCTTCGGCCTTCTGTCAAAGGGTTTCATGTCACTCATTATTCCATGACCACTAATTTGTGCAATCATCAAGTGGCTTCACGATGTAATGCTCTAATGTTTTTTAAATAATTTTTAATCTGTTTTTAACTTGTTCTTGTCATATTTTATATAATTTTGACCATTGTACAATCTATCCAGCTCTCACCATGTTACTGGACGTTTCCCTCATCCTATACGTAAACAACAATTAGCAACATCCTCACATACTACTGTAAGTTGAGTCAATTTGAATTCATTTTACACCTTTGTTGCTACTGTTATCATTGTAATTGCAGCTCCTGATGATGATGGCAAAGTCCATTGAAAGCTAGAGAGAATTAAAAAAAGTATAAAGAGTCCTCTTTGCTTAAATTTTGTCGAAGTACCCAACAAAAGGCGGAAGCTTTAATTTTTCACCTATATATATATATATGTATATATCTAAAATGAATGACCAAAAAGAAGCGGGGATATTTCTCACAGACTCTTGAACTTCTTGCAAATAGCTTTCGTACGCAACCTTTAATTGTGATTTGATGAGTGACCTTAATCTAATGAACTCGCTTCTGTAAAATTTTTTTTTAGTTTGTTTCCATTTACGATGGTTTCTTGCCTTATCTTTTATGTTCTTAATTATTACCGAATTATACCATCTTGGAAACTTCCGCTTGAAGTTTTTGGATAATTGTACATGGTTATCCAATATTCCATAAAACTTTTTGTAGAACTCGTCAATTGCTTTATTAACATCCTGAAATGCTTCCAAAAATGGCCAATCAATAATAGTTAACTCATTGTATAATGCAACAAAGTCGGCTTTTTTAAAATTATAGACTTTAGAATGCTTATTGGTGCCAAATAATGGTTCCTGATGATTAATATGAGGAAGCTTAATGATAAGAGCAGGATGATGGTCATCTGGCAAGAAGGGAGTAGCCGTTGTCGCAGGTTAGATAAACGGATTGTGATATCTCGTACAACATTCGAGATTGTTGATGGATGAATGAGTAAAGACGTTTCCAAATTCTGGAGCAACAGTTGAAGGTTCAGTCAACTCCAATTCATAATCATTGTTATCTGTTGAACTGCAAAACCCTATTAGCCTAGTTTAATTTTGTGATGTGATAGAAAAGTCTGACCATTGAACAATTCAGGACTGAAAAAGAAACATATGACGCCCGAAGGATGGAAAATGCAAGATAGTTCTAATGCCACTACATGTGATATTAACATTACCCTGAGCCCTATTTTTCACTGATTCTTTGTTTCTGTGATGCTGTGACGCCCCGTAAGCGTCCCTGGCCCATCGCTTTTCGGAATCAACACGTAAAGTCCATCCAGATATTCACGTCGATATCTACCGGGTAATTGAATCTTTTGCCGCCTATTTACAAGAGTGCATCAGAAATAACTATATTTATTCCAAACCTCTATTATAGCAAAACAGACAAAAAGATGTATTTTATCCTGTAGTGAAGGGAATTTTACTCTGACTCCGGTTGTAGAATCTACGAGTATGTAATCTAGGATGTTACCGCTCTTGATGTATTTCTCGAGCGGTAAAACTATACTTTGCGCTCTAAATCTATTGATACTTTTGATATTCCAGAACGAGATGTTACAAAAAACACAGAAGCTTTGCTTTTTCGTGTGGATCGTATATGTAAAGCCGTTATTGATCGACGAAAATATTTTTTGCGTGCACGTGTGTGCTAATCCAATGACGTTGTTGACTGAAACTCAAAACTTTCTTGAAGGTTTATCTCTGTCGTCGTTTTCCCATGGACAAAAACTCAGAAAGAAACCGAGAGGTCGAAAGTGATACCAAATCTATACGATCCCGAATATTGTTTAAGATGTTGCTCATACCTACATCAGGAAAAATGTAACCGGGAAACTTTTTTGCATTCTTCATTCTTCGGGAGTAATATGTTTCGTTTCCAATCCCGAATAAGATATTCAGTAGTCTAGTGAATGTAGCGCAGTTCAATTCAAAAATGTTTACATCGGGCAATCCAACATTGCTAACGTATAGTATGTCCTTAAAGTTTTGGCACAAAATATTTAACGGATTTTTTTTAATGACGAAATTTATTTGAACACTAACTATTTATCACAAATTACAACTGAATACTTAACTAAACTATACTATCGAATTATGTGGAGTGGCTCATTCTGCTCTACCAGCCGCAACTTTCTTGGGGAACAAAAGGTACGTTGTGTTGTCGAAGCCAGTTTTGGGTATCTCTTGAGTAGGATGGTGTTTCGAGAGGGAACAGCTCTATTCCGATGAATGTTGAAGTGGCGACGAAATTCACGCTGTACGACGATGACTGACTCATTATTTCGGACGGAACAATCATAGGCGAAAACGCGGTGCTCCACCGTCCAAGGCTCCATAACGACAACTGGTAAAATAATGCTAGGATCTCACGAGTCAAATGGCACCCTCCCCACCTCTCTCGTAGACGGATGCGGAGAGTACTACCCTTCCCAAAAACGTCCGTCCTCTCTGCCGCACCCTGTATTAATACCATTTGAAATTCATTGTTTTATGACTTAATAAACAATTGCATCGATATTGGACAACCCTTTATAAAGTACAAGGAAACAACAAAAAGGCAAACATTACAACAGATAAAATGCTAAATCACCTAGAATTCGCCGTCCAAATATTAGTTTATTGAATAAAAAAAAGTTGCTCTTTAAAAATAATTTCACACTGTCCTTAACTAGTTATCATAGATTACAGCTCAATATTTTAGAGGCAACTGTTCTTCGAATGTCTCTTTTGAGGTCCTGGACGGAGTTCAGATCAATTTCTCTCAGTTTTTCGTAAATTCGCCGTCTTAATTGTTCTTCATGTTGAGCTTCCCAGCCTCCATGATAAATCTCCCTAGACAGTAAAGCCCAAAAATTCTCTATTGTTTGGAGGATTATCCTTGTGTTGTCCAAGCCAGTTTTGGGTATCTCTTGAGTAATGGCATGATGCTAGGTCTAGCCCAAACATGATACGGTCATTAGCATGATGTTCGTGGACGAACTGAAGCAATTTGGAAAGGCAGTTATCAATATAGCTCTGAATATTCAAAGCTTTACGCCTCAGTCTTCCCACAAAAGGTTGGGATACACCCCTGTTAGAAATTGCGCACCCGATAAGGATTTTATCTGCTGATACCTTTTATTTCTAATTTATACATCTTAAAGCGAAAACTTCAAAATAAATGAATGTCAACTGACAGTAAAGTAAGTAAACAAACTTTTGTTTCCACAGGCAACTTGATATTATTTTGTATTTGTTAACATACAAGCCAATGAATGTTGTGCCAAAACTTCAAGGACATACGCTAGTCATTGAAATTTGTGAGCGTTTCTTAACAAGGCATTTACAATGCCATCTATTGGAGAGTAGCTGGAAAATATTGACAATAGGTACTAAATATAGTGAGTTTATTTATCTTATCTTTACAAACTACAAAAACCGTGCGACAATGCAAAAATGCTGTGATAAACTTCTTTAGTTTGTCATCGTTAGAGAAAAATCCGTTTATAGGAGAAGCCACACTGTGCCAGTAGCAAATTCATTCCCAAATTTTCTTTCTTGAACGATGATGTGTGTTCAGAAGATTCTAGCCAAATACTAGGGGCCTCATGGCTGAGCGGTAAGTATTAAAGCTGCCGCTCACCGAGCCACCAGTGGACCCCTCTAGAGGTCAGACGTACTCACATGCTTGCATTATATCATAAAGCTACGTTCTCACGGGGCAAAAAGACAACGCTCAGTTTGTGGCGACTTTAATGTGCGGCCCTAATGGAACTGAACCTAATCTCTTTGTAAATAAACCTCACTTGAATGGCATTTACGCCGCGTCGAAGCGGACATGTTATTTTGATAGCCAAATGTTCGCGCTAGTATTGGCCAGTAAGCAACAATAAACCAATACGAGCGTCATATACAGGGTGTCCAATAAGTACCACGACAGACTTAAGGAGAAGGTAGGCTTTGAACTGACAAAATAGTCCTTATTTGATCATGGTTCCTTAGTATCTTTTAACTACATTGCACTTGTATATGATAAAGCAACTATCTAGAAGTATTTTGTAGCAAAAATGAACAAAGCATAACCTTATTTGTACATGCAGCTAACATTTAAGAAAAAAATCAATATCTCAAAAACGGTGACACTTTTATATAGGTAAGTTTTTGTTATCTGAGAGGTCAGTCCAAAGCCTACGTTCTTCTTAAGTTTGTCGTGGTACTTATTGGACATCCTGTATATGCGACCGGGCAGCCGTGAATACTTATCCAAAGTTTCTTCCCACAACAACTGATCTACGAATAGTAAAAGAAAGACGGGGAGATGGAAAAGTTGGTCACTCACCCTCACGTTTTTCATTTTTTATATTCGTGTGCGTTGGCGTGTGAAAATGGTAATCAGGAATTCACGAAAAACAGATCGATTTTCTGCTTAGAACATAACTATAGATCTTATCGTATATCACGCCCAGATAATCAATTTTGATAGGCTTATACTTTAAACATTGTTGAATCTAATGTAAAATCGAAACTTATCCTGTGGTGATTATGCTAATAGAACTCCCATGTTTTTAATTGCCACGCAAACTGACGAGGCAGTATTTTAAAAAGAGATATTATGTTCATAACGGAAAACCATGCAACTCATTCCTGTCTATCTGTCGGTATGTCAAATTCTATAACCGCATATACGAGGGATGTCGTTTAAGTTTTGCATATAGAAACATAGTAGGCCGCGCGGATCGAACGTCAGTACTGAATCTTAACCTCACTCTTTAGTCAACTTAAATTCAAAGTTTCACTACAATACGTGCAGTGTTCTCACTACAGTGAATTTTTAAGTGTCACCAAGTCATTAGAAGAATGGAACTTAATTTATTACACCTTCAGAGACAATTATCGCAACAAGAATGCCTTGCTGAGTTACTGTCTGTTTTCGGCAACGAAGCGCCACATCATTCGACAATTTCCCGTTGGTATGGAGAATTCAAACATGGACGGGTGAGTCTTAGCGCCGATCCCAGGGTGGGTGCACCAAAAACGGCAGTCACCCAGCAAAACTTCGATGCTGTGCGCAAACTCATCATTGAAGATAGACATGTGGCAAATCGCGAGATTGAGGTGTCCTTGAAGATCTCAAAGACCTCAATTCAAAAAATCTTACATGAAGAATTAGGAGTAAGAAAATTAGTTTCTCGTTGGATACCCCACCTGTTGACTGACGAGCAGAAAGCAGCCAGGGTTAATTGGTGTCAAAAAACGCTTGACCGTTTCAATTCCGGAAACTCAAAAAATGTGTACAGCTTTTTTATTGGTGATGAATCGTGGGTTTACTGTTATGAACCAGAAAATAAACGACAGTCGGCAGTTTGGGTGTTCCAAGGTGAAGAAAAGCCAACAAAAGTCATCCGTTCTCGAAGTGTTTCGGAAAAGATGGTCAGGACATTTGTGTCAAAAGCAGGTCATATTGCAACAATTCCTCTTAATAAGCAAAGAACTGTTACTGCGGATTGGTATACCACCATTTCTTTGCCAAAAGTCACCACCGAGCTTCGAAAAATCAACCCCGAAAGAAGAATCATCCTCCACCAACACAATGCAAGCTCGCACACAGCCCAAAAAACAAGGCAGTATTTAACGGAAGAAACCGTGGAATTATTGGACCATCCTCCATATAGTCCCGATCTAAGTCCTAACGATTTCTTTACTTTCCCGAAAATTAAAAACAGGCTGCGTGGTCAAAGGTTCCAGTCACCAAAAGAACCAGTTGACGCATTCAAAAATGCCGTTTTGGATCTGCCAACAAACGAGTGGAATAAGTGCTTAGAAAACTGGTTCGAGCGCATGCAGATGTGTATTAATCTTCGTGGAGAATACTTCGAAAAACAATAAAGTCATTTAAAACTACCTACCGTGTTGTTTTAATTCCATATGCAAAACTTCAAAGACATCCCTCGTATTACCACCAAAAATGCAACTTTGAAGTTCTATAAAATAGCAAGCAGAGGACTTCTTGAAAAAAATAATGATATTTTCGTGAAAGTTACATCCTAATCTTTCATTTTAAAGTAATAATTGAAGTATTTGCGATATGCGTTTTCTCATCTAGAAAAGTTATATGACTGTATATTGCGAGATACCTTCTCAAAGTAGAAGAGGCTTAAAGTGTCTTAAAGTTTTTCTCTAAATATTGTTCGATAGATCATAGAACAACTTGCAAGAGTTGAATTTCTCTTCTTATAAGCTAATTTTTGCTTTTTATTGCAGGTAAGAATCTCGATCTACGATTAACCGAGTCATCTCCTAAGTAAGTACAGTAACTGCAAGTGTTTATACAAGCTCGGATTGTTAGAATAAAATTCAAGTTATGTTGGTATTGTTTTTATGAACACTGGACTGTAGTTCTTATAATCTTACAACAAATTTGCATTGGTACATGTGATGCAAGCGACAAAAATGGCGTAACTGGGCCGCAGGCATTTCAGTTTGCAACTTGTAGTTTTGTATGTTGCAGATGTCGAAGTCAAATGCAATTCAACAAGCCGCAATATTCATCGCCTGGCACATCTTGTCAGCATTTTGTTGAATTGGAAGCGTACATTTACGATCAGGTACACGATATACGAATTCTTACCCTCATGGGTCCAAAACATCATACGTTTATCATTACGTTCGTATAAACATTTGGAGTCTGGGCCCGACCGATTTAAATCTTTTAAAATCCTGATGGTAGAGCCATAAGGACTTGCAATTAGGGAAATGGCAAATTTCCAAGAAAGACTGGTTTTCATAATCTCGTTTGGTGTGCGTGATATTTTTTTAATACTGCTCTGTACGATGGGAGAGCAGAAAGTTTTTTTTGTGTCTGGTGTGACGGAATTGCTGCAGTAAGTCCCGCTCCCATTCAAAAACATTTCCCGACAAAATCCTGTCTATTTTCGGGATTGAACCGACGCGAAATAAAAATCCTTATTCAGAAATGTTTACCTCTCCAGTTCCGAGGAAGTTGAATTGTAGGACTGAAGAAAACTGAACAAAGGACTTGGGACAAAACGGCATTTGCAACGATTATCTACATGCGACGTTTCTGTTGCGTATCATTGTATTTTTCTCTTTGCTTCCAAACAAGATAAAATAAATTTCTCCTCGTGGATTGCGACTCTACTGGTCGACACTTATTTTAACCTTTTTCTTTCTAGTTTTATCTAAACATTAAAAATCACAAATGTTTCTTTAGTGGATGCTATCGAAACATTGAATCACTTCATGAATAATTGCTCTGTGGGGGAACTTGGGAACATGCGTATCTACCCGTCATTTTTGTACTAATACTGTTTTGTAATGGAAAGAGCCTACATGTTTCGATACAACTATAGTTGTAGTCACCGTTCTTGACGGATTAAAGTAAGACTACCAGTATTCCTTCATATATCGACAGATTATTCACAATGTTGAAATCCCAAAATCATATTCTTGATAAATCAGGGGACTTTAGGGTTCTTAAGGTGTGGCCTACAAAAAAAACGTCAGGATGTTCACCAGGCTCTTTGGAATTGGATCCTGTCGCGTATTCGGGCCTGTTAGCTCAAGCTAGTGTGCTAGTGAATGTTGATAACGTGTGTTGTGTATGATGCATTGGATTTGAATATCTGCTATAAGTGTTGTGGACTAGGCCAGGCCTCTCCAACTCGAGCACTTAGTGCTGGTGCGCTCCGGTGCTGAACCCAGTGGCACCGGTGCCGTTCCCCCTCCAACTCGACCGCACAGCCGTCGCGACAGAGAGAAAGATATTAGCCGACTGTCTCTGGGGCGCCGGCCATTTCTTAATAGGACAAGACAAAGTGGACAGGTTTTTTAGCGTCTTAACGTGCATCTTTTTTTAAACGATGTCATTCAATCCTGCATTGAAGATGCCTATTTTTTTGTAAATACTGATGGAAAAGCAAAATGTTTAATTTGTCACACGGTATTGAGACCAGCCCTTCTAAGTTCTGAAGAGGTAATTATTAATTTGGTCCTACTTGATTATTATTAATGGTGTCGTAATGCAAGTTATATTGTTGCTTTGAAAATCGCAAAAAGTGGGAGACCGTTTATTGACGGTGCACTTGTCAAAGAATGCTTAGTGGAGTGTGCAGAAATATTGTGCCCATCTCCTGTAAGCAACTTTGAGACAATTAGTATGTCCGAGCAAACAAATTCTCGTCGGATACTTGAACTTGGTGCAGATTTAAAAGAAGTAAAGACATTTCTGGCAAAGCATAATTAGCTGTTTTCGTTAGAGGTGTCGAAATAGTCTTTACTATCATCGACGAACTACTAGACGTTATCCCGCTCAATGATACAATGGCCTGGAAGATATTTTTGATGCTGTAGAATACACAAAGAATGACATAGGTAGACTACTCAAAAGTTTGCGTAGTGTTGTTACTGATGGAGCGCCAGCAATGTTATCGGAAGCACAAGGTTTTACTGGGCGAATGAAAATAAAAGTACGCGACGCTGGGCTACCTCCGATATCATCGGTACACTGCATATTACCTCAGGAACAACTATGTGCAAAAACCTTCTGTAATTTCAAATCTATTATGGATGTAGTAATAACATGTGTCAATTTCTGCAGAAAGCAAGCTCTCAACCGCGGCAGTTTGAAGTATTTTTAAAAGACCTGGATGCAACTTACTGTGACATACCCTTTTATTGTGTTACGCGCTGGTTAAGCTGCGTAAAAGTGCTAAAGATTTTTTTTTTGAAATCATTGACGACGTTGAGATGTTTATGCAAATGAGATTTTCACGAAGCCATCTTCTGTGCTTTTCCAAACCGAACCGCCGCAGTTCCAAATGAAGCTGATTAAGTTTCAATGCGATACGATCCTTAATGATAGATACTACCACTACAATAGTGATTTAATTTCGTTCATCAAGGTGTTGAGCCGCAAGATTTTCCCAAAACTCTTGCACTGGCCTTGGAAACTTGCTCCATGTTCGGTACAACGTACTTCTACGAGCAGATGTTTTCTGTAATGAATTTGAACAAAACTAAAAACAGGTCTTTGTCTGATGTGTCCTTAGAGGCGATACTCAGAATTTCCACTGCTCAAGCCACTGTACCAAATATTAGAAAACTTGTTGAATCGAAACGCTGTCAAAGATCATCTTAAGAATACAGTAAATGTGTTGACGTCGAAATTATGAACATTTTATCACCCGCGCGTTGACTCGATCAGACCAATTCAAATGACTTTGAAACCACCGATGCCATCAGAGGTGGAGGTGTGTTATTAGCCTCCCGGAAGGCGTATAAAGTGAAACGTCTGGATTTCAACTTTACAAGCTCGCTTTCTGCAATTGTTATCGTTGCGGTCAAAGTCCACTTGCCTCGGTCAGTCGTATAGGTATACCACTAAAATTGAACAGGGCATAGCTACTAACCCTCAAAGATTTAGGTTTTTTATTGATTCTTTGAAAAATACTTCTCATATGCCTGATACCGTGATGTTTGATAAAACTCAACAAACCACAAGCTATTGTCAACGCTTTTGCAGATTTTTTCCAGTCCACATACTCACCTTCCACAAACTTTACACCCGCAGATTTACCTGACTGCGCCTCATTACCCTTGACTATACCACTGATTACTGAGAAACAGGTTGTTGCCGCTTTGAAAATATTAAACCCAAGGTATCTTCCACTCCAGATCTAATCCCTGCATTTTTACTGAAAGACTGTGCTTTTGTTTTAGCTGGGCCTTTAGCTTATCTGTATAACACATCTCTTAATGCTACATTTCCCATGGCTTGGAAAACATCTCGGATTGCTCCCATATTTAAAAAAGGCGAACGTTGTGTCATTGAGAATTATAGAGCTGACGTGATTATAAGCAACGTTGGTAAGGTTTTCTAATGTATATTGCATGATATAATTTTCTCCCATGTTAAGCACGAAATTTTTCCAAATCAACATGGTTTTTTGCAAGGCAGATCTACTATAACTATTCTAGCGTGTTTTAAACAGTTTTGCTCTGAAGTTGTTGATGAAGGGGGGGCAAGTAGATGTTGCTTACGTTGACTTTTCAAAGACTTGCGATAAGCTAGATCACGGTATTTTGTTAAAGAAATTAGCTACGCGAGGGTTGACCTATCAATTCTTGAATTTTGCAAGTCTTATCTTACAAACAGATGCGTGAAGGTCGAATACAGGGGCTTCATCTCCACTCAGATCATACATTCTTCCGGCGTACCTCAAGGGTCTGCTTTTGGCCCTCTGCTTTTCCAAATTTTCATTGGTGAGGTCGTTGGAGAGCTACGCAGTAGCAGCTGTCTTCTATATGCAGATGACTTGAAGATTTTTTATTAAATTGAAACCATGGACGACTGTAATATATTGCAAAACGACTTGAGCGACCTAAATAAGTGGTATCACCGTAACAAGCTGTACCTGAATGCTGATAAATGTTACACTATGTCTAATACGCGTAAACTTGTTCCAATCCGATTCATATATAACACTGTTAATTCGCAACTCAACATGTGTGAAGAGTTTCATGACTTAGGTATATTCTTTGTTTCACATATTGATGCTGTTGTTAGCAAGGCCTATACAAGTTTGGGCTTCATTATCAGGAATTGTAGGGATTTCAATAATGTGTATACCATGATCTGTTATATAATTCATTTGTTCGATCCGAAATTGAATACTGCTCTATAATATGGTATCCTGTTCTATAATATGGTATCCTGTTCATGAAGTCCACTCGAATAAAATTGAACGTATTCAGGGGCGGTTTGTGAAATATTTGTGGCACAAGGAAGATGGTACGTATCCAGACGTTGGCTTCAGGCATGATGTATTACTTAGCAGATATAACCTCTGTAACTTGGAGAAGCGCAGAAACTACGCTGCT